GGGCCCAACACACTTCTCTTCTTCCCCTTCCTCTCCCATCCTCACTATTACACGTCTCAGCAGGGGAAGCAGCTCTCCATTTCCTGGTCCATTAGCAAGAGTGGGCGCCTACTGCATACCCAGGCCCCAGGCCCCAGGCCCCAGGCCCCAGGCCCATGGCCTGCTCCTTGCCCCGCTCAGGCCCCTGGGAGAGAGCCCTCTGCCTAGGCGGGAATGTTGGGATGGTCGTCATGGTCGTGTCCCCTCAGGTTTAGTCAGTCCTGAACTGATGGCCGGCTCCTCTCCACCTGCCTGGCCCAAGGTGACCCAGCAGGTGCTGTGAGCATGCCACCACCCAGCACCCAGCACCCACCTGGACTGGGCAGACCAGGTCCTCAGTCAGCGAGGTCCACCTGGGGCTTGTCCCTGAGGTCCGTGCCATCTGCTGGTAGGACTGGGTATTGCAGACAGGGGTGCCCTTCCAGACCCTTTGGGACGACCCAGCCCCCACCTCCTGTCTCCCACTTGTCCCCAAAGCCTGGGGTGGGGGAGGGGGAGGGGGAGTGCAACCAGTTCCACACTCAAAGAAAGACTTTCAGACATGGCTGTGACAATGACATGTATTGAGATGTAATCTTCCGACCATACAATTCACCCACTGAGGGTGTACAACTCATTGGGTTTATATTCAGAGCCTCATACAGCAGCATCATATCAGTGTTAGAACATTCTCATCACCCCAAAGAGGAGCCCCATCGCCATTGTCAGTCTCCCTGCAGCCCCTGGCAACTGTCAATCCCCTTTCTGTCTCCATGGATTTCCCGATTCTGAACATTTTATAAAAACAGGTTCATTAAGCATGAGGCCTTGGGTGTCAGACGTCCCCAATGATGTTTTCGGGGTTCATCATGTTGCAGGATGCACTGGTACATCTGTGCGTTTGTGGCCAAGGAATGTTGTGTTGCATGGAGGGAGCCCTCTGTTGCTCTGCTCACCAGTTGATGGACAGTTGTCTTCACTCTCTGGCCACTGTGCACGGCGCTGCCATGAGCATTTGTGCACAGGTGTTTGTGTGGACATGGTTTACATTCTCATGGGCATATGCCCAGGAGTGGCATTGCTGGGTAACATGATGAAGAACTGCCAGACTGTTTCCCGAAACGGCTGCCCATTGTGCGCCCCCCCCCCCCCCCCGTCCCCATGTCCCGCCTGTCCTGGGTACCATGTAGGGTGCTGGAGCCCAGGTGACCTTGGGACCAACCCTGACATACCCCTCCTTGGCTGTGAGACTTTAAGAAAACTGTTGAATCTCTCTGAGCCTGTAAAAGGTAATGGCAGATGTAGCAGATGCCCTCCGTGTGCCTGCCCACATCCTGGGGCCCTCACGGCCCAGTGCACGTGGGCCCCAGAGCTTCTCACCCCAGTGCCCATTTTTGCCCCAGGGGAGTGGGCCCGGAATTCGAGGAGGGACTGTCTCTATGAGCAATCCTCAACCAAAGGCAGATGTGGTTTGGAGGGTAAATAGGCCAGGTGCCTCCCCTGCTTTCCCCCAAGGTGGGTGATGGGTGGGGGCCTGCAGTGACTGTGCAATTAGCCAGATAATTATAGATCGTGTAGGGATCTGTGAACAAAATAACAAGGCATTGTGAGGAAAAATAGAGGGGACCCGATTGGTGGGGGAAATGGAGGTGGAGGAGCAGCCAGCCGGGTGAAGAGAAGAGGGAAGAATGGTCCAGTAGGGGCATGTGCAGAGGTCCTGGGGCAGAGCAGGACTTGGGAGGGGGAGGCAGGGATGCCTGGTGGAGAGGCCACTCCTGGAAAAATCACTGAGGCTGGCCAAGTGCCTGGAGGGCCTGCCTGCTCTCCTGAGACAAGAACCTGAGCATTCACATGCACTTGCGGTGAGATGCGTGGAGGGAGGAGGTCAGAGAGGACGGACCAAACAGCCAGGGCAGGTTTCCCTGACAGCCCCTCCTCTTCACACATTCAGCCAGCAGCCCCAGGGGCTCAGGGAGGGCCCTGTCCTCCTGGGAGAGCCGGGAGGTCCACCTCGCTGGGTGCGTGCGGCCTGGCTTGGCGAGGAGCTCTGCTCTCTGAGGACATGGTGGGCGAGGGGCCATCGAGCCTGCACCAGCCTTGACGGAGACCCTGACTCCAAGGCCTGTGATCCTAAACACCTCTCACCACGAAGCCAGTTCTTTCTCTGCCCCATCTCCCCTCACCCTGTCCCCAGCCCTCAGTCTGGACCTTCCCACGTCCCAGGTCGGCTCTGAATGCAGATGAGGTTGTGGTCAGATTGCCATCTGGATGGGGGCTGGCTGGCCACAGGCACTGGATCTCAAGAACGGGGTCTTGAGCCCAGCCAGTGTGGCTCAGTGGTTGAGCGTCGACCTATCAACCAGGGAACCAGGAAGTCATGGTCTGATTCTCGGTCAGGGCACATGCCCAGGTTTGGGCTTCGATCACCAGTAGGGGTCGTGTAGGAGGCAGCTGATCAATGATTCTCTCTCATCATTAATGTTTCTTTCTCCCTCTCCCTCTCCCTTCCTCTCGGATATCAAGACAAATGTATTTTAAAAATAAAATAAAATAAACAACAGGGTCTTGACTGCTGATGTCCCCTTTGTCCTCATTAACTGGGAGCTGTCCTAGTTTTTCCTGAATTTCTCCAGGTCACTGCTCCCAACCTGCGCTTTTAGAGCTGTGCCTGCCCCCCAGGAGGCTGCACGCTCCTCATAGGCAAGGCTAAGCTGCTTTACCTGTGCAGCCACCTGCCCAGCAGAAGGTCTGGTGGAGGGTAGAGGAGTGCATGGCTGGGTGGATGGATGGTAGATGGATGAATGGATAGATGGGTGAGTGGATGGGTAGATGATGGAGATGGATAGATGGATGGACAGATGAATAGATAGATGGGTAGATGGATAGATGGGTGACTGGATGGATAGATGATAGAGATGGATGGATGGATGAATGGATGGATGGATGGATGGATGGATGGATGGATGGATGGATGGACAGATGGATGGATGGATGGATGGAGAATTACAGTGCCATTCTTCTGAATTGTACAAAAAGCAGATAAATGTATTTATTTATTTTATCAATGACAATACATGAATTTTTGAAATCTCTAACTTGAAACTAACCTTCCCAAGGCATGCGATTTCCCAGAAACTCCCAGCGTGCCCTCGGTACACCCTGTGTGCCCCCATGACTTTCCGTTGACTCCACCTCTGAGCTCCTCAGGTGAGAGCACCTCAGGACAGGCACCTGCCTGCCCTCCCCCCACTCCTGGCTGTAAAGCTATTATTTGTGGACCATTCCATGACTGAGTCTCTCAGCGGATCCTGGCGACCACTGTGGGAACCCATTGACAGATGGGGAAACTGAGGCTGGGGAGAGACAGAGGCTGGTCCTGGGCTCTCGCGATCAACTGTGACAGAACAGAAGTAGCCAAGGCGTGTCTGAGTCCAGCACTGGGCTGCCTCTCTTCCCACCAGGCAGCCCCTCTCCCCAGATCCGGTTCCGAGGTGTGGACCGCAGCCCGGTGGGGCACTCGGGCTCCGTGTGGGCCGCCCTGGTCGTCCAGCTGTTGCAGCCTGAGGCGGGGACGGGGTCAGCCCCAGGCGCTATATCTGGCTCGGCTCTGGAATGCGACCCCGGCAAGGTCACCCTCCGATGGGTGGGCGCTAATTATAGACCTGCTTGCTCATCTTTCCGGGTCCTTCAACCCCCAGGGAGGCAGGAGGCCTCTGAACCCACTGAGGGGTTCAAAGGCCCGCTCAGAGCAGCTGAAGCCCCATCACCCAGGGCCGGTCCGCCTTCCTCACCAGAGGGCCGCCCGGGCTGGGGCTCAGGGGCTGGGCCCTGGGTCCTGCTTCACACAGGCGGGCCGGGCCGCCTTTTCCTGGGGACAGGTGGGGAGTGGACCAGGTCAGGGCGAGCAGAGGGGCCCACCTGGCCGCCTGTCCTCGTCAGCTCTGCGAAGACAGGGGTGGCGGCTGGCCAATCCCGAGAGGCTCTGTTTTTTGTGTTTTATTTTATTTTATTCAGCACTGTTTATTGAGCACCTTTGATGCTTCGATCTCTACTTTTATGCGGAAGGCACTCAACTCCCGAAATCGAGATGTTACAGTGCTTTTTTATTGTGCAACCATCAGTCACCACCACCCCTCTCCGGACTTCATCTTCCCAAACGGGCACTCAGTCCAAATTAAATACACACTCCCCCCCTCCCCCAGCTCGTCTATGAACTTGACTCCTCTAGGGACCTCCTATGAGTGGACTCATACAGGATTTGTCCTTCGTGACTGGATTATTTCACTTAAAATTTCCTCAAGGTTCACCCACCTTGTAGCAGGTCAGAGTTCTCTTCCTTTTTAAAGCTGGGGAATATTCCATTGTGTGGATGGATCACATTTTGCTTATCCGTTCGCCCACGGATGGACTTGGTCTGATGGGAATAGCACTGCTATGCACGTGGGCGCGCACACACCTGCTGGACTCCAGCAGATGCTGCCTCTCTAGGCAAAGGCAGAAATGATCAAGGCCCAGGGGGGTTTCGAGCAGAGTCCCGGAGCACACCTGACTGCACAGGCGCTCACAGGGGTCCTTTCCATGGAGGGTTTTATTAGGATTTTAAACACAGCACACCTCTCTTTCTCTTTCTCACATGTGTGCACAATACATTCACAGACAACCAGGATCACACAGACACACGTACACGCGTGCGTGCACACACAGACGTCCGCAGACAGTTCCCGAATTCACGGACACCTGCCCACACACAGGCTCCCAGGTGTGTTAACCTTTCTTTCCATCCACCTTTTACCTTTCAGATCGAATAGCGTTCAGAGCCAGGGGACTGAGTGCCTCTCGAGCCCAGCTTCCCAGCCAATTTTACATCCCAAAGCAGCGACTCGGCACGGACCCTGCTGTCCTCACAAGCAAACATCTTCATGTAAAACCTGCCTTATAATCTATTAAAGAACAAGGTAGAATAAAATACTTTAATGTTCCAATTACACATCCCCCTGCCTTGTCCCACAGCTGCACCTCGGGGAGCCTCCTCGGTAGCCAGGACCCCGCATTCAGCTGGTCTTCCTGGCTGGTGGGGGTCCCTGGTGGGTGGGGGCCCCTGGTCAGCACAGACCCATGAGTGTCTTCTTCACAGCAGTTCCTCTCTGAGTCCCGGCTCAGCCTCATCATCCCGGCTGGATTGGTGCTTGTTTGAGAGAGTCAGCAGGAGCGGGGACAGTCACTTACGGAAACCTGCCCAGCCGGGATGGCCAGCTATGATGGACGGCAGACACTCAGCCACTGGCTGGTCCACCGTGAGCTTGGCGCCCAGCCATGGGGCCACAATGCGTGAGGCCTCCACTCCGCCCGCTGGGCAGCTAAGCGAGGCCTCCCCGGCTTCGCTGCCGCTGTCGCCGCCGCTGGGGCTGGGTGCCCTTGCTGGGTGGCCTGGGCAGGCTGCCATGGAGCCCGGCCCCGCTCTGGAGCAGCCGCACCATCTCGTGGTCCTTGTGGTCAAGCACGCGGGGCAGGAACAGTGAGGACTTCTGTGTGCGGCGCGTCTTGAAGCCCCTGCGGGGCCGGCCCTTGCCGTTGACCGACACATACCACAGTCTCTCGGCGCTGGGCTGGCGCCGGGCCCCCGGCCCGCTGGGCACCGTCCGGTAGAGCCGGGAGGCATACGTGTTATAGCCCAGCTCGTGGATCCGTTCCACAAACTCGCACTCCGAGTTGTAGTTCTCCTGCGGGTTTGGGCAAGATGCCTCGGTCAGTGGCCCGGGGCCACACGGACATGGGGCCAGGGTCCCAGAAACAGCTTCTTCGTCGCAATGCCCCCCTCCCCATTGGCTCCTGCCAAATCTGACTGCTTAGCCTGCCCAGACCTGTGCACGGGGGCCCTCCACACCTTTGCTGAGGCTGTGCCCTCCGCCCGGCGTGCCCTTCCTCCCACCTGCGTCTGGTGAACTTGGCCTTGGGGATCAGCTCAGGGCCTCCTCCTCGGCCAAGGTTTCCTGAGCACCTTGGGAGGAGTGGCTCTCCCTGTCTCCCCTCCTGGGCGCCAGCCTCCCACAGCCTCCACGGGACTAACCCTGGAGGGTGTCCCCAGCACAGGGCCAGCAGGGCCAGGGCCTGCCCGACCCAGCGCCCTCATTGTCTGCTGGCGGCATGGATGTGAGCAGCACTGGACACGGGGACCAGGGGAGGGGATGGCGCCCCAGAAGGAACAGCATAAAGGAGAAGGAAGGAAAAGCACACTGAGACGGGCAGGGGAGGGAGCACAGCCGGTTTTCCCTTCAAGGCTGGGCCGGACCCTAGCCCTGGGCCTGGGCCTCAGAAAGCCGCTGCCTTGGCCTCTGTCCCTGCCCCACAGGCGGAAGGAGGGACGACTGTGCATGGAGCGGAAGCCAGGAGCCCAGCAGGGTCAGCGCTCCCCCTCGCAGGTGCAGGTGCTGCTCTCAGGGCCCCAACGCCAGGGGTGGGAAGGAGGTTGACTTTGGCGGCGGGATGAAGGGACCCATGTCAGCCCGGCACAGGGTGGGGGTGGGGGCGGGAGTCCCTGGCCTCTGGGAGGCAGGCATCTGGAGGGTCAGAGGGGAAAACCTGGAACTGAAGGAGCTGTCACCAGTGTCCCCCAGGGCGCCTTGTGGGGTCTCCCAGGTGGGGGGAAGGGTGTGTGTGCCTCATGCTGACTCAGTCGAGGCTTCAGTCCCACCCCCAGGCGGGTGGGCGTACCAAGGGCCACCACCCCCCGCCAGGGCTTCCCTCCCTGAACTGTGCCAAGGGGCAGGGCTGCGGGGAGGCAAAGGTGGGCAGAAGGACCTGGCCTCTCTCCTGAGACTGGCCACTCAGTAGGAGCAAGAGACCCTTGGGGTCTGTCTCTGAGAGCAGGTGACCCGCAAACCCATTATGAGGGGCCACAGGCTGGTGGGGGCCAGAAGTACTGGGGAAGCAGGATGTTTAAGCATCAACGCCTCTTTCCCAATGGCTTGGAG